TGGCTTTGTACTTGTAAAATCCAACTACTGATGTCTTAGTCAAGGGAATTAACGTAGAAAATATTTTTTTTCTCTGCTGCCACTTATGATCTAGATAATCTACCTGCTGAGCAGAGTTATACAGAGAAATTCTTGCAAGAGACCAGTGGAGTCCTGCCCTGGGAGACCTGCAGAATGTGATGTGATCCACGAAGGGCTGCTGGATCTGCAGCAGAACACTGCAACCTCCACTGAATGGGTGAAGTATGAGCTCTGGATTTCGTTAAAATTTATGATAGAAGCATTTAGATCTGAATATGCTGATAACAATTATTTAGGGGTTTTTTTTTAAGTGCAAAGGAAGATGCCCAATCTGCATGAGATGGAAGCACTGCAATGAGCTGTCAGTGCAGCAGTGGCACCCGAAAAACCAAAGTTGTGATCTGGACCTGCTGGGAGCACTGGCAGCACAAATCTGTAATGGTGATGGTGCTCAGAACAATTTTGATGCTGGGATTTGTTTCTCTCTTGACTTTTCCCTCCATTCTCAGTAATCCAGTGGTTTTCCATGGTTTGCTCTCCATTCTGCAAACAAACCACCCTTCCCTGACAGCTCCTAAAACACCTGGGAATTTCTTAAACCATCAAAGGAGAGAAAGAGAGAGGAAAAAATTCTGTCTAGTTAATGAAAAAAAAATCACATTGTAATTATCTGCACAAGGCAATTGTCTCAAAAGACTTCACAGAAAATGATTTTAATTGCTTTTAAAAGGATACCACTGTATGTCTTGTAAACACTACCCTTGAGTGTGTCCAGATTTGTTACCCTGCAACACTGAACAGGTTTGTTAACAAACAAAAATTGATTCCTATTTATCTTGTGAAGCAAAGCCCTTGCTGTTTTCTTCTTGATATTTATCCTCTCTCTTCCTCCTCCTTTTCCTTCTTTTTTTTTTTTTTTTTTTTTTTTTTTTTTGGCAAAGTAAGTGATGGTGGAAGCATCAGGAGATCCGATTAAGCCATAAGTCCCTGCCTTGAAGAAAGGAGAGATCAATAGCATTGCCAGCTCCATGAAACAATTCTTATCACTTTGAGTGCTTGTGTGGGAATAGATGCAATTTATATTTCATGTTTAATTAGTTCTGGAGCAGCTAAACTTATTTCAATTCTTCATAGAGCACTGGAATCAAACAGCCACACCTTGAAGAGAGAGTGGAGGGAAAGGGAGTTATGCTAGAAGTGCCAGAATGATAAAGAAAGGCAGAAACCCTCCAGAAAAATGAGAAGGCAAAAGCTTAAATAAGAATAAAACCCAATCTCTTGTTGAGACCTTTGTTATAAATTCTGAGGGCAGAATTCCAGAGGAGAGGCTGAAGCAGAGGATTCTGCTGAAATGGAAGCTCTGCATGCTCAGGCAATTTCTTCCAGGATTAATTAAAATTTAAAGAGCTTTTCCCCAAATTTTGGCACAGTGACTCCTGCTAGAAGCCCTCAAGAGCAGAATACCTTTCCTGTCAAGTGAATCCTGGGAATGAGGGGGTCCAGGATGGGTTCCTGTGGAGCAACAGGATTCCCAAGAGAAATTGGATAATTGGGAACTAAATTTGGTGATTTGTTTATAGCTTGGAAACCTGGAAGACATGGAAGCTCTGAAGCTTTGTCACATTATTTATTCACTGCTCAGTCCCAGGTGGATTCCTCTAAAAGCTCCGAGTCCCAAAGACCCACCACCCCAAATAAACAAGAGCAGTAAATGGAGAGGGAGGGACTGAGAATGGCTAAAAAATGAACAGGACTTGGGTGATGTTTAATTGGTGGTCACATTTCATTTTAGCTCTCACTGGGCATGGCAGGCTGTTCAGGTTTTATGTCACATTTTATTTAGGTGTCAGATAAAACCAAGAAACTCTCAAATAAGAACATCTCAAAGATTTTATGCTGTACTATTGATATTTTTGACAGCTCCACGGAGGATGCTGTAAAAATGTGGAGATTTATGGACACTGGAGGGTGCTTTAACAAGGGCCAGGCTGTGTCAATAAGAAGTCAAGGAGGAATGAGCTGTGTGTCCATCCCTTGTCGTGCAGGTGCCTGGCACAGCTGCGGGAAGGAGAATTGGCTTTGTACGGGCTGGGGACAGCTCCTGCCACAGCCACAATCCCTCTGGCAGCTGGGAACGTGGGGATCAGCAGGGACAGTGGCTGCAGCACCTTCTCCCTTCACACCAGGGATCACCATTATCTGTGAGTACAGCTGGTATAACAGAGGAATAATCTCTTAAAGCAGAGCTGCAGAGGATCTCCATGGCCCGGGGTAAAATAACAGCCCTGGAGAAATGAGGCCACCAGAATGACACAGATCACCCCAAGCACTGCTCTGCAGAGATTTGGGGAGGATTTCCAGGAGGAATCCAAGGTGGAAGTGAGCTGAGAGATGGAAATCCTGCCCACAGCAGCTGGAGTTGCCAGGTCAGGAGGAGATGCTCACGCAGCTGCTGGGACAGATGTGAGCAGGCTCTGATCCCCCCAGCCAGGTGGAACACACTGCTCCCTTCCCCAGGGGGACAGAAGGGCCGGTGGGGTCACTGCACAGTCAATGCATGGCAAAACCTCAGCTCCCCAACCCCAAACACCTGAGCAGTTAACCCTGAAAAGGCCAGAGCCAGCAGAGCTGGGCTGCTCTGCCAAGCTCAGCTCCTGAACCTCACTCTGCTCCAGCAGGAACCTGTGTGTAAATGGGTTAATTGCACCACCTAATTAGTGGCTTGTCTTCATTTTCTTCTGTCTTCACTCAGAGCCAGGATTAAAAACATGAAGGAGATGAATTTCCTTGTGTTAAGACTTGGTTGTTTATTAAATCTTATCTAAAGTACAGAGAGTTCTGCAACACTTCCAGTTACCAGCTAAAAGTGAGCAAAGTGGAGCTGAATCCAGCTGCTACAAGGCCTTTTAGAGTTAAACAGTGCAACAGAGAGCTAACACCTAGATTATTTATAATAACCAAATAACCAAATAACCAATAACCAAACTCCTGTGACCCACGGTGCAGCGCTGTCCAACCAAAAACTACCTGAAATCATGGGGAGGAAGGAAGAAGAACACAGAAAGAGACACCACCCAAAATCCTCCATCTTGTCCCATACCTATTACTATATTATAAAAATCTCGAATTCCAAACCCTTCACCATGTGAGATCACTTCCATATAACTACACGCCCTTGGTTTTAACTCCATCACTCAAATTCGGGAGCCTTCTCCAAGGCCCCAGCTCCAAAGCAGTGTTCTGCAGGGGGTCAGAGGCAGAAAGCACAGAGAACCCAAACTGCCAGCTTTGTGGGGTCCCACAGCTGTGTGCGGGTGCTGTTGGCACTCCCAGCTGTTCCCTTTTCCCATTTCAGGTTCCGGCTGCCCCTGAGCGTGCAGAACAGCGGGGCAGAGGGAGCGGGCAGGCTGCGGGAGTGGCTGGCTCTCCTGGAAGGGCACAGCCAGCCGGGCAGCGCTGCCCCCCGGCCCCTGCAGGCGCCTCCAGCGTGCAGCTCCCCCGAGGCTGACTATGAGGAATTCCTGGTGCCTGCGAGCGAGCCCGGACACGAGAGTGCCCACCTCGGTGGGAATTCTGCAAGGAGCAGCCTGAGCAAGGGTTCATCCCCCCCGGCAGAGCCTGCAGAGGGGGAGGCAGCCCCAGCAGCCCCTGTGCCTCCTGCCAGGGGCAGGGCTGAGCTTCCACCAGCCCCACCTGCCCTGCCGCAGCCCTGCAGCCTCTCTGCAGCAGCAAAGAGAACCAAAGCCTTCCACTGGGATGTCGTTCCTTGTGACAAGGTGAGGATGAAACTGACGGTAGCTGGTAAAGGAAAAAAAAACCAAAAAACGAGCTATTATAGCCTGACATGGATAGTTATAAGAATCCAGCTGTGGCACAAAATAACCTGGATGCTCCTCTCTGTGTTTGCAGGGAACAAAGGGCCTCTGTTCTTCTGGCTTTCTGTTTACCCTGTGTCCCTCCTGTATTTTTAGATTCAAAAATCTGTCTGGGGATCGTGTGACCCATGCAAGAGAAAAATAGATGTGTGCAGGCTCTGTGAGCAGTTCCAGATCCAGGACACAGCAGTGCTTCTGGGCAGTGAGCCTGCAGTGAATCAGCACATCCTGCTGGACAGAAAAGTTGCACATAACTTCAGTGAGTGCATTCACAGGGGCTGGGAGCTCCTCTCGGGGAGCCTGGGCTCAGCTCTGCCTGCATTGCCATTTCTGCTTTCTGCCATTGCACAGACAGTGATCAAGGTTTTATGTAAATCATCTTTTAATTCGGTGCTTCTCTCTTTGTACAAAAAACACCCCATGGCTCAGTTGCTCCCAACGTGGCCCTTGATGCTGTAGAAATAAACCCCAAGCTGCTTTTTTTGGACAAACCTGGGTGAGCCACTGAGCTGTGATGCTGCTGTGTTGGGGCAGATGTGGAAAGTCTTCCTGTGAAATCAATTTAAGCCTCGGACTTCCAAGGCTTTTCCAGTTTTGTGGGCTGCAAAGCCAGCAGGAGCAGGTTGGGAGCAGACCTTGGAGTGCAGTGCTGGGGGAGGTGGGTTGCTGTGAGGAGCCTTTGGGACAGCTCCAGGTCAGGAATTCTTGGCTTTTCCCTGGCCAAGGGCTCAGGATCCTGTTCTTGAACCCTTTGCTCTCCTGTTTCAGGTGGGATTCTACCCAAAGCCTGATCTAGCACTAATTTCAGAGCTCATGAAGCAGCTCAACACCCAGTCCTGATCTTCCTAATAAAATATTGTAAAGGACTTTTCATCCCCTTGATGAGAAGTGGTGGATATTAAAGGAGCAGCAGTAATTGTTCTTCAAAGAGCGCTCTGATTTCTGCCACAAAGATGCCTTTCCAAAAAATATCTATAACCTAGAGATGCCTTAGGATGGTTACATGTGTAAAGAATTTGGAGCAGTCAGCTCTGAAGTTTTAATGATTTCAACTTGATGAATATGAATAAGAAAAAAATGTATTTTGGAGAGCGTGCAAAGTTTTAATTGGGAAGCGTAGATGGAGATAACTCGGAATTATTGCATCCCTTGACTAAAAAATTGAAGGGTTAAGAGGAAGAGTGATGGGAAAATGCTGTTGCAGATAAAAGAATCTTGTAATAGCACTTTTATCTACTAAATTATTGCAGTTTCTTTGATGAAATGCCTTTCTTTTGCTTTGCAAACAGCACCATTCCTCCTTTTGATCCTGCTCCTCTTGCAGCTTTTTTCACTGGGATATTCTACATCCCTTTCTTAATCTTATCCTCATCACTGAGAGCTTTGGCATAACCTTATCATAATGGACATTAATCAGATCAAAAGTTAATTTGATCCTGAGAATTCTGATTAATCTTCCTGCAAGTGCTGCAAAGCACAGTCCTTACTAATGAATCAAATTAATGAATAAGAAGATGAAGCTCCAAAATGCCAGTTGGTTAAAAATTCTGCAGATTTCGAGTGGAGTTGTGAACACCAGAGGAAAATGAGAGTTCTGAGAGATTTCCACACTAAATTCAAGGCCAGTGCAGGAGAAAATACAAAGAAATGCTGAACTCTCTAATGGATTCTTGTTGAAAAAAGAAATTTCTGCCACACAGGAAGCAGGTATCAGTAAGAGACAAGAAAATCATCCTCAGATTTGTTTTTCCTTGCTGACTGCTATGTAAATTTAAAGAAAATATGAAAATTGGGTTTTTGCCTCATGATAACAGCTGCTAAATATTTTTTTTTATTCTGGTTGTTTGTTTTTGATTTTTTTTTCTTTTTCATTCTCGTTTAATTCTGCTAAGTATAGACAAGATACTTTGGTGATTTTCCTTCCCTCGAGCATTTCCTTCCAAATAACCCAATTTTTTTTTTTTCTCCAGACATTTTTCTTAAAAGTTTCCGTATAAAACCAAGTGAGCTGAAGGACAAACTGTTCATCATCCACGAGGAGAGTGGAGGGCTCACAGATGAGCAGATTACAGCACTGAGGAGGTAATTTTGGGGGGAATTGTTTGGTTTTGGGACCTTTTGGAGAAGGCAGAATCTTCTGCAAATGATGTGGAGTTTGGAAAGTTGGTTTGGACAGGAGGGAGGCAGACAAGAGTTACAGGAGGTTTCTGGGATGATGGGATTTTGGGATTATTTGTGTGTCTGAGGGGCAGAGATTTGGGGGTTTAAAGTGGAGATTTCTGCAGCTTTAACAAGACTGGACAGATTTCAGGAGTGTAAGCAAACCATTGGGAAGCTATTGACATTCACAGAACTGGATTTTATCTTTCTGAATCGTTTGAGATGTAGAAAGAAAGGAAAGAAGTGGGATCTGTTCCACATCCCAGTCCCCATGTGATACTTGGGCCATTTTAATAAACATTTTTACATGCAAAAGCTTGATGTGAAACTGATTCTTGCTTCAAAATGAGACAAAAAAAAGTGTTTTGCTAAAGAAAATTGGGAAAAAGAAGGCACTGACAGAGAAAGGGAGGACGTAAATAATTGATGATTCTGCTTCTTGTGGAATCAGTTTAATTTTGGCCTTAAAATGCTGATTCTGGGACAGGGATTCTGAAGTCTGCAGAATCCTGTCTGTGCTTGGGAAGTGATGTGAGGAAGAACAGACATGAAACATGGAATTAATGGCATCCTGTGTGATGGTTTTTGAGCTATGAAGGGGCATGGGTGGGACAATGAGTATTTAATTTTTTTTTTTTTTTTTAATTCTGGAAGTTATTTCCTTGCTGTCCCAGACCTCTCCCAGTTAAGCTCCACACTGGTGCACACCAATTAGGATCTGGTGGACTACTGAAAATCTGACCCTAAAGGCTCAGTGAGAACAGAAATATTTCATTGCAGTGCTGGAATTGGGCAGGAAAAGAACTGCAGGGAAATGTCTTGGACATTGAGGTGCTCTCAGTGCCACGGGGCTGTTTCTGGAAAGGCAAAGGGAAAGGAAATTCCTCCAGTCCCATTGCCCAGGACATGCCCTGCTCCCACCTCAGTCCAAAGGGGAGCTCTGACCCCTCTGTGCTGCTCAGGATTCTGTCCTGGCACTGCAGACTCAGCCCAGGATCTGCTGAAATTGCTGGGACATCTCTGATTTATGGCTTCTGGGCTCTTTGCCATCAGACAATAATAATAATAATAATGATGATGATGGCAATGAAGCTTGAAATATCATATTTTTTTCCTTGAAGTCTTTCTCTGATGGCAATAATGCTGAGGGAATATTCCCAGCAGTGGAATGTGTAAGGGATATTGATTATTGCATTGCTCTGTGTTGTAGAATTTTGAGGATTCAAACGATGCTGTCTGCCTTCAAGGATTCTGTCCCTGGGATTTTTATTTACTGCCAAAATCGATGAATCCATGTGCAATTCTTGCACTGAAAGCAATCTGTGGTTTTTTTTCCACCCCAAGAGTTTTGAGTATAACTGAAACAGTTGAGATTGATCTCAAAAGGAAGGCTTGGATTCCCAAGGCACTGGGAAGTGGAAGGAGCAGTCAGGAATTCTCATGGAGCATCACCTGGTGCAAGGCTCTGTGCTGGGCTGGGCACCACTCAGGGAGGGCACTCAGCACTTCTGCAAAGCTTTCACTCAGTTTTGGGAAATTCCACCTTTGGGAACTGTGGCCTCCAGTTAATGGAGAGTTATTTGAGCACAGGAGTCCAGACAGGGCTGGAAATTCCTCTCAGTGCAAATTGTACCTGTCAGAGTGTCTGAGCCAGGCAGTGTCTAAACCCTGCTATTGGAGAGTGAAAAATACTGAAAGTCAAAGCCAAAATTCCATTTCCAAAGCTGTGACCAGGGAGCAGAGCCCTGCCCATGCTCCAGTGGAAGTGGTGTGTGGGATATCATTGAATTCATTCAAGAATGAATTTATACAGAAACTCCTGCATCTCTGAATGATTCTTTATCCTCTTTATGCCTTAACAGCAAAGCACTCAAAATCTCTCTAAACTTAATTTTTTTTTTTAGAGAAATGAGAATCTTTTTCATTGTGCAAATTCCATTAGAGCTGCATTCATGTATAAAGATATTTATGGAATGCATTCACGTGTTTTTGTGCCTCCTTTCTCATGGCTCCCATTGTTTAAAGCTTTGAGCATTAAACCTTCCAGATAATCTGTTAGTTCCATTTTCCATGCATAATGCAGCTGAAGAATTTTATGGGGTATCAGACTTCTGATTAAATGAAGATGTTTGTTATTTTAAAATACGCTCTATGAATTTGCTTAAAAGCTCAAACTATTTTTAATGATGAATAAACACCCTTTCATTTGCCAACAGCTAACTTATTTTTAAATGAAAATTCATTTTTTTCCTTGATGGTAAGATGGACTGAAAGGATTACATTTTAATCTGCTACAATATAAAGTTAATTCAAACCCCAGCAATTTTACAATTGAAATGACATATTAATTATTGACTACAGTAAAATAAATCTTAGTGTTTTTCCTGCGTTCAACGTGCTAAAATATTTGCTTTTTCCATCTCTGAGTAAATTCCCTGACTTTTACTGGAAATGGATAGCTCTGCCCATGAATGTTTAATCACTCCTGCTGCAAATTTAGAAATTTGTTTTAAGAGAAAGAAAAGAGAGTAAACCTGAATACTTATTTCAGCCTCTTTACACTCCTGACATGTGAGCTGTGACATTGATTGCATTTCTCTGAAGAAATGCTGTGAATTCCCCCCGTGGTGGCTCAGACTCCAAAGGAAGGCAGCTGTGCTGCTGTGCTTGTTTTTCCAAGTGGAGGCATTTTTGAAGACATCAATCTTCTACAAATCCGTGGCCCTGGAGGATATTCTGTGACCTTGTGCAGAAGGGAGGAAGTTGTGGGTCTGTGTTCTGTGCTGTCACTGTTTAAGCAAGTCAAAAAGCCTGTAAAAATTGTGATAAAGAAGAAAACCCTGCCAGGCTGGGGGTGTTGGGGTGTGGGCAGGGCCAGCGTGGACAGGGTGATCCCTGTGGGTCCAGCTCAGGATATTCTGTAATAACAGAGATAAGAAATGACCCAACCTCTTTGGAAATCAGGGCCTGAACTCCTCTGTCTCATGGTTTTACCTTTCCTAAGTTATTCTGTCATTTTAAATTCTCTGTACATCTGCAGGTGGATATTCTGGCTATTTTCAAGCCTTTCCAGGTATCCAGAGGTATCTGCAGATCACTTCTGCTTCCCTTCTCACAGTTGCCTCGAATGCTACAAAGGATAAGCAATAAATGTGAAACACATAAACCACACAAAATGTGGGAATTCCAGGGGCAAGGAACACAATAATTATTTTATCAGAATACTGAATGAAGAGGAAGAGGACAACTAATTTAAATTTTCTCTTTGCAGATATTTGCCCACACCCAAAGATGCAGAAAGGTACCTGTCCTTCAAGGGGTCCTGCTCAGAGCTGCACGTGGTTGACCAGTTTATGTTAGAGGTGAGGAGTTTCAATATTAAAAGACACCACATCTTATTTTTAGGCCATTGTCCGAGCTAAAACCACTGCCAAAAGCTGTTGTTTAGAACTGAAATTGATAATCTCACCCAGAATCAGTATGAAAGGATTATTCTGATGAAGAGTTGAGACAGGTAGATTAAAAAAAAGAGAATTATGGATCCCTTTGTGTCTCCAAGTCACACTCCCTCCTCTTCCTCCAGAGTAGGAACTGATTTATCCTGACCTAAATCTAGATCCCCAAAATCTAGAAGCCATAATCTATAAAATTATGTGCATTTAACCATTTTTGCTCACAAGAAAAGATTGCAATTGATTTTAATGATGTCTGCCCAGGAGCATGCAGTGAATTTGCAGGTTTGTGCCAGAGTGTATCCACAGGATTAAGGCCCAGAACAAAATGAATAAATGAGCACAGAAATTAGGCAAACAGTGGCACAGCTGAATTGCCCAATGAATAATGAAAGGTATATGCATGTTTTGGTGTAAATGTGAGTTTTTATTCTGGTTCTGCTCAATTCTGTGCAGATGTGTAAAATCCCTCAGCTGGGCCAGAGGCTGGATCTGCTGCTCAGTGTCCGTGAGCTCCCCGAGAGCATCAGAGACCTGGAGCCTGTAAGTACCAGGAGCCCCCAGGGTGTGACTGATCAGCATCAGTCAGTGTGCTGAGAGGCCCAAACCACCTCCGAGCACATTCCAAAGCTGTGGAGTTTGGGAGGATTGTTTTGTTTTCATTTTTTTTCCCACTGTGTGTTTAATATTGTCCTTATTCCACCAAGGTTCAAGATAAGGGGCGTGGCAGTAGAATAGACTTCCACAAAAGAGAAAAGAACAGGGAAACATCTTCAAAATGTAATTTGGAGTCATTAAACTTTCCTCCTTCTTTGGCCAGGGATAAGAGCAGAAGTGAATTTCACCATTAAAATTCAATTCCCTTGGTGGGGATCTACTGGCCCCATGAGCTGGAAAAATCAGTTGAGGACATGGAGGAAGTTTATTTGACAAATCTCAAGGAGATTTATTATTTCCTGAAGACTGAAGGAGCTGTTCCCCCTAAGGATCACAGCTCTGGGGTGAAATGTTTGGGAACCAGGGCTCAAATCCCTCTCTGCCTTGTTCCAGGCTGCCCTAAGGGTGGGGAGATGCAGATAAAGCAGTGCCAGTCTCCTGGCTGGACCCTGCTGATCCAGGCCTGGCCCTTCCTGCCAGGTTTTATCCATGCTTTGATTCTAAACAAAGATTTCCACACCATGAAAATGTTTCCCAGGTTTTTGCCCTCGTCCTGCACTGGAATGAAAATAAAATGTGAAAGTTCTTGCCAGACCAAGTTGTTGTGCTTTGCCTGGCTGTGATTAAAAGCACAGTGACAGTGAGGGGAGCTCAGGAGAGGAACAGATGGACAGCACAGGGGAGATGCAGAAATCCTGACCCTGCCTGGTGCAGCTGCACCTTTGCTCTCCTCCACTGAAGCCAAATATTCAATATTTGAAAGTTATTCTATGCACTGCTTGCTTTGATGGATATTTAATGTTCACTGAAGAGCTAATTAGTGTCTAAGTATGTTCTTATGCACACTAACACCTGTTTTTAAATGACAGAATCTACACCTAAAATCCTAAGGGGCAATGTGAATATTGGCTTTCAGCACCCTCTGGCCCTGAGCTGTGCTATAAATGCTTTAACAACAGCTTTCAGAGCACCCATGTGCTTCATCCTCTCCCTGTTTTTGAATTTGTATGTTGGTGACTGATGAAAAGAGGTGTGGTGCTAAAAAAATACTGATTTTTAAACTGAGAACAAAATCACCTCCTGTGCCTCTAGCCCTAGAAGGGAGGTGGCTTCCCTAGGAAAACTGAATTATACTGAGTTTGAGTACAGGAAATTATTATTCTTCCTTGTGGGGAAACTGTGCTAAGAATTCTGATAACAGCATTGAGCTGGAGTAGATGGAAGGGAGGGAGGTGAAGGATGGGGCTCCAGACTCTGCTTCCCCTGGGCCCTGGGCTTTGGGCACCCAAACACAAACACTGTGAGCACAGCAGGCTGGGCTTGTTTGGGCTGCCAGGGACGTGACTCCTTTTGGGGTGACTGTGCCAGCTCTGCTTTGTCGTGGGGAGTGGAACTTGCTGGAAACCCCAGAGGGATTTGGGCAGGGAGATGTCCTTGGGCAAGAGAGGGACTTTGGGTGGGGACAGCGAGGGGAGGCACAGACACCAAAAATGGGATTTATCCCCATTTCCAGTCTGAGGGAAGGTTTGTGTGTTCCAGCTGATAATCCAGAATATCCAAGCAAGCAAGCAGCTGCAATCCAGCCCAAAGTTCGTTGCAGTCTTGGAGTACATTTTGGCCATGGGGAACCACCTGAATGAAAAAGCTGGGAAGGAGGTGGCTAAAGGATTCAGATTGTCATCTCTGGCCAAGGTCAGTAAATATTTCCTTGTAATTAAAATCATCCTGTTCTAAGGTTTGTTAGCCATTAATATGAACTCTCCCTGAGAGTGGAGAGAGGCAATAATTCCTAATGAGGAATTATAATTCCTACTAATATATAATTTATATTAATATAAATATAATAATTCCTAAAGAGGCATTATAATTCCTAAGAATAACATATAATTTACATTAATATAAATATAATAATTCCTAATGAAGAATTATAATTCCTAATAACAATATATAATTTATATTAATATAAATATAATAATTCCTAAAGAGGAATTATAATTCCTAATAATAATATATAATTTATATTAATATAAATATAATAATTCCTAATGAGGAGCTCACATTTTACCACCTGCCCTTGGCTACATGAGAACAAAATCCTGTTGAATAATGAATAATTTCGTGTATGTGAGCACAGGCTGGGTTTCCCCTTTTCAGGCAGCAGCACTGGCTTTGGGTGTTGAATATTCTGAATATTCTGTGTCTCTAATGAGGTAGAACATCAAAATGCTGCCTGCCCTGATATTAAAATCCCTTGGCATGAAGAGTTGTCTGAGCTGCAGGCCCTGGTGGGACCCCAGATATGGACCAGGAGTGTGTGTGAAACAGCAAAATGAAAAGGAGACATTTAATTCTGTCATTTTCTAGTCTTGCCAAAAATACCTGGGGTCTATCAGCATCTCTGCTGCTCCTTTTTCATGTTTTATTTCTTTTTAGGGATGATAGCTGAGTGTGTTATTGCTCTGTTATTGCAGCTGCCTCTGCTGAGGGGCAGGGAGAGGATGTTCACCCTTCTGCACGCCCTGGTGGAGCAGATCCTCTCCCATGAGCCCGAGCTGGCCACCTTTCCTCAGGAGCTGACAGAGTTTGAAGCTGTTCCCGATGGTGAGAGGAGGGAAAGGGGGAAAAAAAAATAAACAAATAAAAAATTTAACTCAATCAAGTTCTATGCAGACTCCCATTCTCACTGTATAAATGATATTTATGATCATGTTTTTTCCCCTCTCTCTTCCTTTGCAGCGTCCATGAAGGGCCTCAGTGCTGAAGTTGATGGTATGTAAATGTGGTTTCTACATTCAGAGGCAGATTTTCATGCACTGTGCAGTCATTTGGAACAGGTTTTCACTGCACCTCTGTAGTTTGTAAAGAGAGTTAAAGGTTCAAAACATTGAGGTGAAGTGTTGCCATGGAGATGCTTAACCTGCCATGTTACTGTGAAGAATTAAAAAAAAAAAAAAGAAATATTGAAGTGTGTCCAGGTGGTTTGGATATGTAAAAAAAAAATTGTACTGACCGTGGTAAATAGAGGTTATCATAAAATACAAAAGTTAAGTGGCACAAATGCTCCATCACAGTGATGGCTGTGAGAGTGTCTGGGACATGGAAGTGGGAATGCAGCAGGAGAAACTTCCTGGAGTTCAAGAACTTTCTGGAAACAAATTGGTTTCCTTCTCTGAAAGGACTCCAGCACCAGTGAAGTCAACAGGAGGGACAGAAAGGGTAGTTCAAATGGAAGATGGATTTTGGGAGGATGGATTTTGGGAGGATGGATTTTGTCAGCTGATTTCCAACTCCCCATGGAACAGTGCCATGTGAGCTCCGTGGGTTTTACACTGAAGCCTTTGAGAGCTGATAGCAGAGTGTCAGTGGATGGAAATGATGCTGATTAGGCTGAAATTGATAAAAATCTGTCTTTTGAAGGTGTGATGTGGTGTTGGCCATAACTTTGTCCAGATGAAGATTCCCAGTTTCAGCCTTTGATAAGAGATCTGAATGATGCTCTCTCACCTTTGGCTTGGCAAACCCTTTTGGGATCTGGGGGTCACCTCTGGGAGTAGCTCAAGGCTCCTTCAGTGTATTTTATCCTGCTCCAAGAAATTCCAATCCACCTTTTAGGACACAAAAATCATTAAATGCAACAATATTTACCTTCAGTCACTCCTGGGGAGCAGAGACAATTCAAAATCAGTGAATATTTTAAAGACAGTTTTGGAAAGTGCTGGGAAAAGCTGTAAAATGGGAACCAGAACTGGAGATGTCCAAAGAGATGCATGAGGGGAGCCAGAAGGGACTGAGCTCTTCCCTCTGTGGATTCCTGCTGTGCCCAGGGCAGAGAGGAGGGAGCTGCACCAAAATCCAGGGAACCAGCTTGTGTCAGTCCCAGGCACAGGCTGGAGCTCAGAGGTGCAGGAATTCCCAGGGAGATGCCACAGGAGCCCCCAGAGCCAAGGCTGTGCCCTCTGACCCATTTCCCAGGGAAGCAGCCCAGTTAACAAGATTCCTTACTGTTCCACAGAGGATTTCATTTCATTTCTATTCTATTCTATTCTATTCTATTCTATTCTATTCTATTCTATTCTATTCTATTCTATTCTATTCTATTCTATTCTATTCTATTCTA